GTCTTAAAACCACGGGGGCTTGCTCTCCTGTGGCAGCGCTGCCTGCCCTTGCTGCTCCGCGTCCCGCCAAGGCAGAGGCGCGCCGGGAGCGTGAGGAGGGCGGCTGAGCCCAGCGGGGAGCCGGGACCTCCCTCGCGGGCTGGGGCCGGCGGCAGAGCGGGCGCCCCGGGCCGGCCTCGCAGCTACCGAGAGCCCCGGCTAGGTGAGGCCGGTGAGGGGCGAGCGCAGCTCCCCGCCGGGCTCTCACCCTCCGCTCCCCGCCCCAGAAGTTGGGGTGTAAGAGCGGGAGGAGGCTGGTGCAGCGCCGGCACGTCTCGCCTGGCGCCCGAGGAACACGGTTTGCCTCGGAAGCTGCAACTCCGTTACCAATTTTTATTCAGCTTGTAGCCCTCCTGCACGGGAGTCACCTTAAAGCGGGATAGTAGAAGATTTTTTGTGTCTGCGAACAGGACGTAGGCATTTTTTGTTGCGGCAGAGCGGCGAGTTAAAGGCAGGATTACCGACAGCTACAGTCGCTTTTACCTATTTTATGCATGGATATAATGTTTACGCTTACGTGTCTTTTTATACGTAATGTTGGTGAAAGTTTGAAGCTCCCCATGCTGTAAAGAATAAAGTGTATCAAAAGGAGCAAAGCGGTTTTAGTTCTCCTCGATCCGTGTGCAACCCATTTTTGTTGCTAACTGCAACAATTAAAAGTGCACTGTTTGCCTACTTCTGCAGCCTTTGCATGGTGTCAAGTACACTTTTTAGGTTGTCACATCTACACACAGTAACAGTCCTGGCATTTGCTGTTTCATGTGTTTCTTTTTTTACATTTTCCGGTTAGCAGAAGCTTCCCCAGTCTGTCTTCTCTTGCATGTGTAAAGATAGTTACTTAAAAAAAAAATGGTCTTTTCATTTGAGCTAGATCATAACTGTTTTAGGCATTATCTCCTAGCCCTTAATCAAGTTGTAAGAATGTCTCTATCTTTCTTTAAAAAGCAAAAAAAAAAAAAAAATTGACATCCATTTTCACCTGTTAGAGGTCAGAAGGACTCGATATTCAGTTTTACAATTTTACTCCTTCTGTGCAAGGTTGTTTTGAAGTGTTGCAAGTAATTTATATGAAGAAAAATATTTTAACATTGACATTAGCTACATCAAAAGGCAAATTTGCTGTAGTGACTCCATCAATTAAAAAGTACTTGCCTACAGTAACATGACCTTGCAAATGACATCGATAGTTAATATGATCATTAGTCTTTAACAGTATTATTATATTCAAAAATATAAATTTGTTGCCAGAATCCACATATTTACCGCTCCGCATGTTTTATTCTTCTGTGTTTTCACATCTCGTATGAAGTGGTCAATTAATTTTCATGCTTCAATCTTTTACAGATTTATTTTCAGCTTGTTTAGCTTGGTCAAGTGAACCTAAGGAAAATACAAAGGGGTTTTTTTGTTTTGTTTTGGGTTTGGGTTTTACTTTTTATAGTTTCTTGGTTTTTTTTTTTGTTTAGAAAATTTGTCTGTAATTCTAGAATAACAGAATGGAAACTATGGAAGTCTAATGAAAGTAATCTTTGGAGTGCACTCATTATTCAAATACACAGACCATCAGAACAAATCTTGTACTTATTCCACAAATTTGAATATAAGATTTCTCATACCATGGAAACTCGGTAAGGAGTAAATCTCGTTAATACATTTTTGTTTTCTTCTAGATTTGTCGGCATTAATGCATCTGATATAAACTACTCAGCTGGTCGATATGACGCCTCAGTTAAACCCCCCTTTGATATAGGCTTTGAAGGTGTCGGTGAAGTGGTAGCATTAGGACTCAGTGCTAGTGCAGATTACACAGTGGGTCAAGCCGTGGCCTATGTGAAAGCAGGTTCCTTTGCTGAATACACAGTTGTGCCTGCCAGACAAGCAGTCCCTCTACCCTCAGTGAAACCCGAGTTCCTCACTTTAATGGTAAGTGGTGCAACTGCATACCTCAGTTTGAAAGAGCTGGGAGACTTGTCTGAAGGCGAGAAGGTTCTGGTGACAGCAGCGGCTGGAGGAACGGGCCAGTTTGCTGTGCAGCTTGCAAAGAAGGCAAAATGCCATGTAATTGGAACCTGCTCCAGTGATGAAAAGGGCGGCTTTCTGAAATCCATTGGCTGTGACCGTACCATCAACTATAAAACTGAAAATGTCGAATCTGTGCTTAGGAAGGACTACCCCGAAGGTGTGGATGTGGTGTATGAATCTGTTGGGGGAAAGATGTTTGACTTGGCTCTCAATGCCTTGGCTATCAAAGGGCGCCTGATAGTTATTGGGTTTATCGCTGGCTACCAAAACCCCACTGGCCTCCAGCCCATTAAAGCAGAGTTATTGCCAGCAAAACTATTGAAGAAGTCTGCTAGCGTCCGGGGTTTCTTCTTGAACCATTACCTTTCTGACTACAAAATGGCTCTGCAGCATTTGCTCAAGATGTATGAAAGAGGAGACCTGGTTTGTGAGGTGGACTTTGGAGACATGTCTCCGGAGGGCAAGTTCACTGGCTTGGAATCTGTATTCCGTGCTGTAGATTACATGTACATGGGAAAAAACATTGGAAAAATTGTAGTTGAATTACCTCACTCTGTCAACAGTAAGCTGTAAAAACAGAACAATGATATAAATCAGAAGAGAGAAAATGGGCACTTTATGCTTCACATTTACTAGAAACAATTTCTATTTTTAATCTTAATAATGGATAGTATATTAAAAAACAGCAATAAAGTGTTAATAAAAAGAGGTGGGTTTGTTGGGGGGTGTTTGTTTTGTTTTGTTTGTTTTTATTTTCTTAGAAGTGTTTAAATCAGTGGCTGTAGCAGGGACATAATGGGCCTGTGTTTGATACTGTCACTTAGGTTAGTGTGAGACAAGAACATTGTTCTTGACAGAATAAGTCTTGATGCAGAGGCAGATTTAGTGTGTCAGCCTGATTTGATAAGACTTCATACGTAGCTCAGCTCAGGAAAAAAAAAAATCTTTCAGCAATTTTGATTCCCTGATTTAAAAATAAAATTGTTAGAACAAGAATAAGTAAAGAGTTGTATCTTTGGGTTGCTCTATTAATCTTTTGAAGTTTCTGGGAAAAAAATGCTCTTGATTTTTTGTCACAAACACGATAATCATAATTCAGTTGCATCATGGATCATAGTAATATTCGTTGACTGGTTACACAGGGAAATTTATCCTCCAATTCTGACGTGTCAGTAATATTAAGCAACTTGACTTTTTTTTTTTTATTAATCCTGTCTTTCATAACTATAAACAACTGTGCAATTTTCTTTTAAGTCTTTAACTGCAAGTTGCAATATAGTCTCATTTTGTTACCTTTTCATTTTACACTGCTACTGTTTAATGTCCAGCCTTCCCTATAGTCAGTATTTAAAGATTATTGGAATGGGATTTTGAGCCATGTTCATGTGCGTTCAGGTTCTGTGTATTTTTTGAAGATTAAATAAAGTTTTAAAAGCTATTTAAATATTTGTGGCACTTATTCATAATTCTGTTTCTTGCTGACTAGCTCTTTTTCAGATATTTTGTTTTTCAGAGTTATTTGACTGATCATTCTTGAAGGGACTTCCCATAATCAGGCCTCTACTTCTACTTTTAACAAATCTTGGTTCCACAGAAGCCCTGTTAAAAACAGCAGGGCTGTTTTAAATCTATAGTCACAATACCTGGTAGATGTACTGATGCTCAGCCACAGGTTTTCTAGCGGGTGCACTAAAGTTTCAAAAATTCTTCCTCACCTAGTGGATGTTATTAATGGTACATACAGTGGGAATTCCAGCTAGAAGCATAATATTTTCCAGAATAATAAAATACTTGAAACTGCTTGCTCTACATCTTTATTTCCACAGCAAACTTTTAAGATCTTAAAGGCCAATTTTGCCACATCTTTTGAAATTGCATTCATTTGTATGCAGTTGAAGAGATGGAAATTTCCTAAGATCATATGCCTCATAATAAGTGTAATGATAGACTGATAATGTCTAGGATTGTAGGAAAAAATCCAGGGTGAACTTAATTTCAGGGCATTATTCAGTGACTGACAGTATACAAGTTTTGATTGTAACACAGGAAAGCATATTATATTAACTAGTGCAGACAAAAAAATATTTTTAACTTTGATTTAGTACATTCTTAATGTAAATTTTTAGTACATATGTCATTAGCATGATAAGTAATTGTGTACAGTGGAGAACTGTCCCCTTCTTGGGCCATGCCTGACTACTAGGTTTAGTCTCACTTTGGTGGATTTTGGGGAGAGGTGGAATGGATTTGAGTCTTTGTGACCATTTTTCTCTTTTACTCAAGGTGAGCATCAAACCACCATGATTTTTATTTTAAGTGAGATCTACTGTTAGAAACATATTTCCTCTCTGATAATACAAATATTGTGTTGTGTTTTGCATAATTAGAAAGGTATATTAGCCTTCCAGCTGAATGGATGCAGAAGGATTCAAGCACTCAAGTACCATACAGAGAATGCACAGTTCTCAGTAATTTATTCCTAGGCATGTGATGTTTTTTTCTTGTTCAAGGATAAGGTGAAGTCCTTGGTCATTAAATGCATCTTTAAAAACCAATGTTGTTTGGGATGTAGTGTGGCAAAATTTTAAAAAAGCAAAAACAATTGGTTACATCTGTGATACGTACAGAAGAGTTACATGTGTAACAAATTTTTCAAATTAAATTCCTACAGTCAAATTCCAAAACCGTCCAAGTGGCCCAGTTTTCAGATGTGTTGATCACTGTCAGTTCAATAGATTTGGTGTTTCTGAGGCAGTGAATTCCATATGGTTTTGTCATAAGAAATTCTTCCTGTAACAGGATTCTGTTTGGACATACATTCTACTTTCTTTTTAATATGTTACTTCATATATAACATTGCATAATGCAACTGCCCCAGGCTTCTTCACTGATCAAAATAGGGGAAGAGAGAAACCTTTGGAGGTTTCACACATATATATTCAGATATGACATGTTGTTCATTTTAATTTTGGCTTCATATTGTTGTTTAGCACTTTCATACTGATCACAGCATTAATAAAAGGTTTACATTTGTCATGTACATAACTTGGATAGTCAATGTTCAAATTTCATCGCCCTTTTGGTGTTTAGGTTAGACTGTAGCCATTGGGCTTGTCTTTTTCATCAAATGTTTATGTTAAGCTGAAGGGGTAACTTGGGGTCAGCATGATAACTCTTCCATGAATGAATATGGAAGAAGTAATTTTAAAGATACAACTTCTGTGCTTTAAATTGCTGAAAGAGAGCATTATCAATGGAGAGAGGGTGAAAAGTATTTCTTAAACATGAAGATAAGGCCCTTTTGATGAGTTTCATAATAGATTTTGGCTTGCAGCAGGGGGAAAAAAAACAACTTCTCTTTATTTAAAAGTACATTCTGCAAACTTACAGTTGTGGGAGCAAGGCTGCCTTTGAATAAGTAAGCTATGATGGATTTAAATAATGTTTAAATATTAGATGCCTAGGAAAATGTATATGGCATGCACACACTGAGAGGTTTAAATGATGATAGGACATTGAACATACAAGGAAAAGAAATACTGTAGAGTCACAGCAAGGGATTAATAACAATACACTTAATATGCTTGCAAAAAAGGTGTATTAAAAGCTGTGTGCACAGTGGGGACTTAAATGATTAAAAATAATAATACATTTGCCTTGGAAGTACTAAGTATACTATATGTAGAGAGCAGGGATTTAAATAATAATACTATTAATAATAGCAGCTCATTGAGATGTGGTTGCTAGCACTACATCCTAATTTTACCTTTCTAAATGAATTTGCTACAGAGGAATCTGGCATTGTTTGCTGAGGCTAATAACCGAATTTCCCTTCCCTACACACATATGCTTCCATGGAAAAACAACAAAGAACTAGATGAAGAGCTGGCTTTTTTCCTGAGTCTGTCACATGTGTGCATACGCACGCGCACACGGACACACACGTACTCACTCGCTCTCTCCTGGCTTGCAACCCTCAGCACATTTTACAGATATGCTCCCTACTTAATTGCTATGCTGGATTCTCCTAATACCTTTTTGAATCAAGTTGGGTTTCTACCAAGCGATACTTTGCTGTATGTTTGTGTGCGTGCAAATGTGTGTAATGTATATACACATAAAGTGTATATTTAGTAGGTGGATATGAATAACTGCTGTGTCATGTAAATACAGTTAATTGCAATCTCTCAAGGAAAAGTTTGCAGTAGCATTTGCAGATATTATATATATTCCTACTTCTGTCTGAGGAGTAAAGAAATTTCTCTGCTGAATAGCTGTTAGTATCTATTTTACAAGATTTACTCATTTTCAGGTACCTAATGTAGCTGCTAGCATGCATGCACGACAATACAATTTATATGGTAAATGGAACCAAATAATGGCTTCACTGAATGTTATGGCTGCACTGAAGGGAAATGTCACGGTAAATAGCTGCCAAATTATGGATCATGCCGAAGTGTCACAACTGCACTAAAGACAAATAGCACTAGAGGCTATTGCCACTGTGACGCTTTTGAGTTATGAAGAAGAGGAGCAGCCTGATGTGAGCCTCTTTGTGTCCTCATTATAGCAAAGGGTTACTGGTGCAGTGTACAAGAAAACCTAGTCCTACGTGGTGGCTAGTTATTAATCTGTTCTTTTCCAATCTAACAGCTGTAGCAAACCAGAAAATCTTTCCCTTGCTTTATGAATACATATAAACACATACAAACAAAGAAAAAGCTGCAGGTTTTATGAATGTAAATGTGTACGGGAAATGACTAGTAATGGAAAAATGTTGTAATAAAATAATCTAATCAAAGAATATTATTAAATTTAATATCGTATGTGTCTGAAAGCTTTAGTTGCTTCTTATGCAGATAGATGTGTGAAATATAAGCAATAATGCACTTTCTCTCTTTGTAAAGACTTGAGTAGTAAGGACATTACCAACTAAATTGCTTCTTCTAAACTGAAGTGTGTCCCGGTTTCTTTCATTTTAATGGGAGGGTAATAAAGATGAAAGACTAACATTTTAACTGATGGATCCCTTAAGCTACAGAATAGAAATTTATTATGTTTTGAGGGAATATGCTAAATGCTGAAATGTGGAAAGAAGCAGGGAAATCCCAGGTAAAATAAAAGCCGTGTAACCTCTTTTTTTATTGTTATTATTATGGCATAATTTTATGAATGGAAAACTACATACTGCTCTTACTTAAACTGAGAAGACAGCACTGATCTTTCTTTTGAGAAAAAAAAAATGGGGGGAGTTACTTAGAAAAAAAAAGATTTGGAAATGGAGGGACATCGCTCAGCAAGTGGTCGCTTCTCTCTACGATCACTTTTCAAATCCTGCCTGCAGTGTTCAGGGAAGTGAGTTTGATGCTCTGCACACTATTGTACACACCACAAATGTACCATCCATAACACAGCACAATTGTCAGTTGCTGTTTTACAGAGGGGCCAGGGCTGAGCAATCATGGTGGATAAATTACTTTTCTATTCTACAGCAAGTGGCTTTCCTACCATGTGAAGCTTAAGGTCATTGGCAGGGCAGTGAGGGGGAAGCTTATATATTAGTTAAAACTAATGCACTAATAGTGTTCAGATAGAGGAACTAAACCAATTAATTAAAGCTAGGTTTGTTCTTCGAGATGGTGGGGGGGGATGACTTGGAGAGTTAGTGTACCAAGAGACATGCACGTATATGTATGTGTATGTATTTTGCACTTCTTCCTGCAGTATTTCTGTAGAAAACTTGGGATTTTTTCCTTTTGTTCTTTAATATCTGCATTAAAACCTTCATAATTCATGACTGAAGAAATTCAGATTTCAGAAATAAGAAAATATTCTCCAAAGATTTGAAAACTTTAGTAATAGAATCTGCTTAGAATTTTTACAGTGTAGTCTAAGGGGGGAGGGGAAGAAAAACCCGTCAAAAATTAGGTAGAACATCCTTGAATGGCAATTAGTGTGCCCAGAATTTATTTTATGTGCAATGCAGTTGCAAGTAGCTGCTTCTTATTAAATGAAAATCCTGTATTATGTACTTCAGGAACATTCCAACTAATGAGTATGTAATGTCCTTAGTGTAACACAGAACTTCTTTTTGTGTTCACAACCACAAAATGCTGGAAACTTGACAAATGATATCATTTAAGACAGATGCCTGCCTTAGGGACCTGTTTTTTGGCTTCCTGTTTCTGGTTTTTATTTCAGTAACATTTGTAATTGCCACAGGATCTGTACCTGCATAGTGTTTTAACTCCTTCACATATGCCCCAATGCATTAACTCCTTGGGTAGGTACCCGGGAATATTTTCTTTTTACTTTTTCCTTTTTCCTCCCCAGCTGGTGTGTCCTTCCTGCCTCTCACAGGCGCAGCTACACACATAAATAAAAGCTGGATCTTATTAGACCAGATGAAATGGTAATGTCAAAGGGGGTAAACACTTA